TTGTTCCCAGGTGCTCTGTCCCAGGGATTTAGGGCTTTATTTATGAGTTTCCGTTATGCTGCCGCCGCCTTTTTTTTTTTTTTTCTTTTTCCTTCAGACCTGCCCAGCCCAGCAAGGAGGCAGCCTAGTCACTGTTGGCCTATAGAGGCTTTGCTGAGCTGCTGTGGGCTCCGCCCCGCCCCGCTGCCTAGTGAACTTCCCTGTAGTCCTGTTTATATGGGTGTAGTTAGAATTGCTTTGGCGATGGTGGCCCGCCTCTATTGAGGCGGAGTCTCTCTGCTGTGGTGGGTTGCCTTGGCAATGGCGGGCTGCCTCAGCAATGGCGGATTGCCTTGGCAACGGCGGGCTGCCTCAGCAATGGCGGGTTACCTTGTCAACGGCAGGCTGCCTCAGCAATGGCGGGTTGCCTTGGCAACAGCGGGTTGCCTCAGCGTTGGGTGACTAACTCGGTCGTGGCGGGCTGCCTCGGTAATGGCGGACGCCCCTCCCCCACAGAGCTGGATCGTCCCGGGTTCAGCTGCGCTTGCTGTGAAAGTCTCAATCCAGAGTTTCTGGTTGCTGTTCTTTTGTGGGGGTGGTACCAGCCGAGCCTGATCGCCTGGCTCCCTGCCTCAGAGCCTTTTTTAAGTTGGTGTTCCAGTCACCTGTTGAAGAGGCTCCAGGGTCTGTTTGTTTTCCACTGCGGCCACTCACTGCGCTGGCTTAAACAGCGGCACTGAAGTTTGTGGCGGTTTTTTTTGTTTTGTTTTTTTTTGTTTTTTTTTTTTTGCCCTGTAATCTACTGTCCTGGTTCTCTGCTCAGTCCCCTTTTTGAACCGGCGAATGGGCGACTTCCCATGGCTCCAATCGCCAGCCAAAAGGGCACCCGGACCGGTTTATTTTGTACAGAGAACCGCTGCTCCAGGGCGCCGACAAAGCAGCCGCCCGGAGCAAAGCAGCGGCGCCAGCCGGCACAGCCGCGTTGGCCGAAACAGCCACGCTGGTGACCGTGGAGCTCCTCCGCCCGGGAATTTCCTAGTCTGTGGGCAATAAAAACGCAGCGTCCACTCACCCTCTGCGCTTTTACTGGGAGCTGCAATCCTGAGCTGTTCCTAAATGGCCATCTTGGATCCTCCTCTAACTCTGGTTCTTAGCTCTGGGTTCTGTGAGAATCACCTGTAGAATGTCAGTGCTTAAGTCCAGTCCCAGGGAATTCTGATTTGATTGGTCTGGAATGTGCCGGATATCAGTAGTTGCTAAAACTTCCCAGGTCATTCTAATATGGAGCCACATCGAAGATCACAGAATTACACTGGGATTTGTAATGCCAAGTAAATTAGATACCTTTATTAGCTTATTGGCACATTTCAATCCTGAAGAGATGTCTACATAGGGAGTCAAGAGGAAGTTGGTGGCTTGCCTGAGGAACAGAGAATGACAAGAAAAGGGGTCAGGAAATCTGAGGATCTAGCCTTATCAGGCCTGATGTGCACACCTTCACTATAAGATAAACTTGCTAGGGAGGCTAGTGTGCATGGATGTCCACCAGGACTCTTTTCTAATGGATATATTATTGCATTCTGAGCCCCCATTTTCTGCACTAAAGCAGTAACTCCACCTCTGTTTTTTTCCTTCATTATTTAAGACATAGTTTCAACATTGTTTCACACGAAGATTATAATTCTCTTTAATCCCATTTATATTTCCTAAATCAATTGTTTTAGAGTCCGTTAGAAGAATATATGAAATTAATGTATGCATTCTACTAATTATCACAAGGTTATTGCAAGAGCTCTAATATTTGAAGACAAAGCTGAAACATGGTTGTTAGAAGATATTTTGGTTTTGGAATATAGAATACCATATTTTTCTGTTATTTAGGAAAAAAGTGTTTCATGTAAAACAGAAATCATGTTTACAAAGGCACTTTCTTACAATGACACATCAACTTAAAAACTGAACAAGTACCAACGAAGTGTTTAACTGACTTGTTTTAAAGAAAATGGTTGACAAAGAATTATCCTTTTTTTCAGGTAAACTTTTATTAAACTCAGTGGAAATTTAACAACAGATCATTTTCAAACATGTAAAAGGAAGGAGGTAGTGATCAGGATTTCTTTGTGAAGTTCTGTCAGGCTCATTGAATTTTCCTGTCTGTCAGAATGATAGGACTGATACATCGGCTAAAGTAACAGCTGTAATTTACAAGTCATTTACCTTGACTTTAAATGAGCTTGGGCTTCTACTTGTTTGGCATACAAATTACAGATTTTTTAGATTAGACTCTTGCATGGTTACAGTTCTATTTATCCACATTAGAGACATACTTAAAGCTCTCTGATTTTTGTATCTGTGTACTGAGGTTTTTTTCATAATCATGTCTAGGTTATATTTGTGTATTCTCTATACACAAGTACAGTTGAGCCCGTTTTCTGATATAGGAATAACAGTAAAGTGTGTGTGTGTGCGTGCGCACGCACGCCTACACGCGCATGCATGTGTGTCCATGTATGTATGTGTTCATGTTCACGTAAATCATTGGCAGAGCTAACAATATGCGAATAGAATGTCAACTTGGTTTAGAACACTAGGGCTGACCTGGAGAAGCCATAATACATAGCAGGGAATGGATAGCCACTTCTACCTCAGTCCTCCTAATTTTCCTTTTATTCTATTACCTGCTGACCTGGAAGTCCTAAAGCCAACCTCGGCATTGTATAAAAGGAAAAGGAAAAGAAAAAGGAATCTAGGGAGCTATACAGTAGAAGAAATACTTTTAAAGTTTGGAAACCAGTTTCTCAAATACACTTGATACAGCAGGAGAGATGTGGTTCGGATTTTGCCTAACGTAAATTGTATTTGCTTATTTAAGTATCAACCTTGTTCTCCTGGAAAACTGAGTATGCAAAGAGAGGAAAGTAATGTTAGAAATAATAAAGCCTTTAAATAGAATTTTCAGTAATAAACAAAATTCTCATCTGTTATCTCCTTTGCTACTCAGAACATCTCTCTGAGGTGAGATGGCAGTTGTTAATGTAATACCATGTTTTCATATGAGAAAATCAAGGGCAATGAATGTGAGTCTTTACTATGCTATAAACAATCAATTTAACAAATATATATTGAATGTCTGCCACTTTCCAGGCAATGTTTGAGCCTCAGCCATCCCTGAGGATCCGGAAGTACACACAGGGACCTGCAGGTTGTGCTTTTCTGTGCCTGGGATCTATTAAAGAGCAGCAGTAAGCCAGGGGCACTCTCCTTAAAGAACATGTTTAAAATGCCAAGCCTTTAGTTCAATTTACTGATTAACTTCATTTTCAAGAATTCTGTGTACCTAAATTCAACATTTCCAAATAGAAACTTAACCACCTATTTCCATAAATGGGATAGTCCATACTTTTCCTGTGTCTCATGATGCTCCTAGATCAAGAACCTCTAAAAAATATGCTCACACATTGGACTTTTCAGAGTGATGATGTTTGCTTTTAGGGAAAATTCAGACCAATTGGAATGAGATTAGCTTTTAGTGTTTCACTAGATTTGAATTCAAGTTTCATAAGTTGTAGAAAATAAACCCATTATCAGTTTGAGAATTAGCACATTCCTTACTTCGTTAAATATAGACATATACATTTAGTTCTGTTGATTTTGCTGGGCTTTAAGAAAGGGGAGTAAAATAAAAATGCTGTTTCTCCATCATCTTGAAGCAGATTTCTCCATTTCTTTTTATTTATGTGTTTTTCTGAGGCAGTTTTGCTCTGTCACCCAGACTAGAGTGCAGTAGAGCAATCTCAGCTCACTGCAACCTCTGCCTCCCAGGTTCAAGAGATTCTCCTGCCTCAGCTTCTCAATTAGCTGGAATTACAGGCACACACCAGCACACCGAGCTATTTTTTGTATTCTTAGTAGAGACAAGGTTTCACCATATTGGCCACACTGGTCTCCAACTCCTGACTTCAGGTGATCTGCCCTGCTGAGCCTCCCAAAGTGCTAAGATTATAGGCATGAGCCACCTCACCCAGCTAGATCTCTCCATTAGCTTTAATGGATCACTGTAAATGCTGTACTTTAATATATATATATATATATATATATATATATATATATATATATATTGAATTGTAGAGTACAGCATGTTGTAGTCCCTTAAAAATGAGGCCCAACCAACACTTATATAATCGCCTAATTTATGGCAAAGAGATCTACAAAATAGTTAGGGGAAAGTGACCTTCATATAAATGGGCAGTTGGATATAAGAGAAGTGAATATGACCCTGTATTAGTCTTTTCTGTGTTACTGTAGGGAATATGTGAGACTGGGTAATTTATAAAGAAAAAAAGGTTTGTTTGGCTCATGATTCTGCAGACTGTACAGGAAACATGGCATCACCATCTGCTTCTGGTGAAGACCTCAGAAAGCTTCTTATCATGGTGGAAGGCAAAGGGGAAGCAAGCGTATCACATGGCAAGAGAGAGGGAGAGAGGTAAATGTACAAGGCTTCTTTTGAACAATCAGCTTTTGCATGAACTAATAGAGTGAAAACTCACTTATCACTAAGGGGTTGGAGCTAAGCCGTTTGTTGGGAATCTGCCCCCCATGGTCAACACCTCCCACTAGGCCCCACCTACAATATTGAGAATCACATTTAAACATGAAATTTGGAGCAGACACGCATTCAAACCATAACAGACCCCTAACATATACCATACATATAAATCAACTGCAGGTCATTTCATATCTATATATCATATATAAAACAATAAAACTTTTACAAGAAAACATACAAAAACATCTTCAAAGGCCAGTTTCAAATATCAGGTCCCCAGGTTATTCATACTTCTGTCAGTCTTGGCTAGAAAGTCAAGGATTCCCAGAACTCTCCCCTTAGGTTTGATAATTTCCTAGAATGGCTCATAGAACTGAGAAAGGCACTTTACTTATGATTACCAGTTTATTAAAAAGGATAAAACTTGAGAACAGTCAAATAAAAGAAATTCATTAGGGATATGGGTGGGGAGTTTGTGGAGCTTCTGTGCCCTCTCCAGGCCCACCATCCTCTCAAAATCTCCATGTGTCCATCAGTCCAGGTACTCTCCGAACTCCATAGGTTAAGGTTTTTATGGATGTTTCATTATGTTGGCATGATTAATTTAATCATTGCTAATTAACTCAAACTCCAGCCCCTCGTTCACTCCTTAGAGGTTGAAGAGTGGGGCTAACCTCACTTTCTGGCAAGCAGACCCAATCCTGATCCTGATGCTATGTAGGAGCTCCTAGCCACCAGTTATTTCATTAGTACAAAAAAGACACTATTATCTCCCCTGAGATTCCAAGGGTTTTAGGAACTATGTAGCTGGAGCTGGGGACAAAGTTCCAGTATAGATTTCTTATTTGTCACAGTCAGTTTCTTCAGCTTCTTCCTTTTTTTTTTGAGATGGAGTGTCACCCTGTCACTCAGGCTGGAGTACGGTGACACGATCTTTGGCTGACTGTAGTTCTACCTCCCGCTTCAAGAGATTCTCCTGCCTCAGTCTCTTGAGTAGCTGGGACTACAGGTGCACATCACCATGTCCAGCTAATTTTTGTATTTTTATTAGAGATGAGGTTTCACCATGTTGGCCAGGGTGGTCTTGAACTCCTGACCTCAGGTGATCAGCCCACCTTTGCCTCCCAAAGCTGGGATTACAGGCATGAGCCACTCTACCCGGCCTCCATCAAGTTTTTTACAGAATAGCCACCATACTCCTTGTTTTACATTTACAAGCAGATCAAAGGCAGAAAGAGTGACTTCCAAAAGTTGACACATTATTATATTGGTGCAGCTTTTCCGTAATCCATCATCAATCTTGTCTTTATATGTTTTTGTCCTGAAATCATATACTGATTTCTCAAGCAAATTCTGAGGACCAGCAGAATGGCTATGGTGTAGTCTGTTCATCTTGATTGAATAACTGGGGCAAATCATTTGGTGTTACTCTAAATAAATTAGGCTAGCAGTTCTCAAAGCGTGGTCCCTGAACCAGTGGTACCAGCAGTA